ATATTATATACATGTTTAATATTTTTGAAAAGCAAACTCTAATTTAGCAATTCCTTGAAAGAGCAACATGCACACATCCATACATTCATTTATCTCTCTCTCTCTCTCTCTCTCTCTCTGTCTTTCTTCCTCTTCTTTTCTTTTTTCTTCATCCTCTATCTCTCTTTTTTTCAGTAACTTTTGCTTACTTTGTCCTTTTTTCAACCTTTTTCGAACTTCTCTCTTTTTTTCTCTCTCTCTCTCTTTCTTTCTTTCTTTTTTGTTTTACAATAAATAGATGAAAGTAATGGATTGAAACAATCAAGCAAATAATCTTTCCAATAACAACAACATTAAAAAATGAGCAAAAGAAAGAGAGAGAGAGAGAGAGAGAGGGGGAAAAGAAAAGAGAGAGAAAAAAAAGAGGAAAAATAATACTTTAAAATTATTCCTCTTCACTTTCTAACTCTACCTCTCCTTTTTCAATACCTTATTTCACATTTTTTTATTCCTCTTTTCTCTTCTATCTTTCTTCTCCTTTTATCATTTTTTTCCCTCCTATCATTTATTTATATTCTCTTTTAATTAAAATAATTCATTTTCAAATTGAACTTCTCATTTTTTCACTTATTTTTATCATCACCGATACAAACATACTCACACACACACACACACATACACACATACACACTTTATAAGTTTATTTGATATGAGACATTCCGGATTGATATTAGTTTTTACCGGAATGATTTAGATAATTAAATAGTCATTATTCAGTTTAACTATTAAAAATCTGATCGTTATNACACACACATACACACATACACACTTTATAAGTTTATTTGATATGAGACATTCCGGATTGATATTAGTTTTTACCGGAATGATTTAGATAATTAAATAGTCATTATTCAGTTTAACTATTAAAAATCTGATCGTTATTTATTTTCTTTATTGATAAGGATTGAGAAGAATGATGATTATTTGTTGTTAAATTATATATTGATATAATAGAAAAATGTTATCAGTAAATTATCACTTTCATATAATAATTTCAATACTTAAAAAATTATTGAATAATCATTCTTTTCTATTTTAAAAAAAAATGTCAGAGAATAGATTTTCTTCTCTCTCTCTCTCTCTTTCTTTCTGTCTTTCTTTCTTTGTTTCTCTTTCTCTTTCTCTCTTTCTCTCTCTCTCTCTCTATCAAAAATGAAAAATAAAACGATGACTAAAAGAGATGTAAAAGAAAGGAAAATATAATGGAGAAAATTATTCTCAGAGAGACTTTAATGTTAATATATATATATATATATATATAGATAGATAGATATATCTTTCGTTTGCTTTCTTATCTATCCATAACAAATATATGTGTATTAGCATGAAATTATAGATAGCATTTAATTGATTTCAAATTTTTAGTAATTCATTATTTGATTATTCGTATCCTACCTAATTTATTATTTGATTATTCTCATCCTGCCTAATTCATTATTTGATTATTATTCCATTCTGTAATTCATTATTTGATTATTCTTATTCTGTAATTCATTATTTGATTATTCTTATTCTGTAATTCATTATTTGATTATTATTCCATTCTGTAATTCATTATTTGATTATTATTCCATTCTGTAATTCATTATTAGATTTTTCTCATCTGCGTATGTTTCTATTAAATTGTAGGAAATAATTGAATTTCTCTTTTTTAATTCATATTTCATTTTATATTTCACTTATTATCATTAGTTTATCATTTTCATTAGAATTATATATGATAATGATAAGAAATATAAATTAAATTTATTTAATTTTATATTAATTTATAAATTTATTTAATTATAATCATTATATAACATAATATTTTCATTTGTTTCATTATTCAACTAAAGCATTTTAAATTTTATTTTCATGATACTTAATTCTATAAAAATACTGTCAATTGATATCGTTATCACAATCATCATTACTACCATCATCATCACTATCGTCATCATCATCAGTTACCATAATTATCGCTATGATTTCTATTAGCTATTCCTGTTATCATTATTATTGTCATCATCCTTATTCAAACATTTCTTATCTTATGATTTACCTTAATAGTATTAATAACAATGATAGTAATAATTTGTAGTGGTGATAATGATAATAATAATTATTATTATCGTAATAATAATAGTAATAATAAATAATGGTAATAATAACAATAATAATAATAATAAACGACAATAATAATAATAAAGATTGAATTGTCATTTAAATAAATGTTTTCGTGTTTTTACTACGTTCCGGAAAATATTTGCGTGTTCGCTTTTTCCTACGTCACCTTTCACCCTCTCTCACCCTCTATTACCTTCATTCCTTCTCTCTCTCTCTTTCCCTCTCTCTCTTCTCTCGCCGTTTTTAGAAATATGTAGAGTTTATTCAATTTTATTATTATTATTATCATTTCAGGAAAAATTGATAATTTGCTCAAGCGAAAACACAGGTCCTCTTCATCAAACAGCAATACATTCCTGTTACCGTTAATAGCATTTAATTAGTATTAATTAACGAAAAAAACAAGAGAACCGACAAATAAACGAGCTTATCACGCTGGAGCTCTGTCCACCATCACCGCAAAAAGCTGTCAATATTGGCAGTGCCCTGGAATTAATGGATTTAATTGGTTCAGCAGTTCTGGGCAATAACAATAGCAACAACGATAACAACAGCATCAACAACAACAACAACCACAACAACAATAATAGCAGTAATAGTAGCAGTATGAATAGTGATAGCAGTATTATTGACGATAATAATATAGCTGATATTCAGAATTCGGAAGAAAATAAAAGTACCGCATCATTGAAATCCGAATTTATGCCATTAATTGATGAATTAGCAACAGTATCACCATCTTCATCAACTGTTGAACAAACTAGTAGCACTCCCGAATCAAGGATTCGAATTACAACAAGTCCAGCTAATAATAATAATAATAGACCGATTACTACTGATTCATCACCAACGATGATGGAAAAAGCTGAACGGCCAAGTTTAAGCTATAAAGATCTCATTATTGAGGCCATTGAAAGTAGTCCGGAAAAACGGTTAAAGTTGAATGAAATTTATCAAGTATATTATTTCTCTCTTTCTTTCTTTCTTTTTTCTTTTTAATTCTATCCGTTATTTTTTTAAATAAAAACAAAAATGGCAAATGAAAATATTTGTTGTCGTAATTTCCTCTAAATACTTTCCATTGTTTTAGAAAACAAAACAAAAATAAATTAGAAAATGAGAAAACATTTCAGAGAAATTATTTTTAAAAATAAAACAAAACATTTTTTTTTTGAGCTTGTTTTTCTTTTTATTAATTAGCATTTTTCAGCCAAAATAAATTGGTAAACATTTATGGCAATTATAAATTTGATATTATTTATTGACAGCTTTTTTTTCACTACATTTCAAAATACGAAAAAGTTTTTCTTTCTTTTTTAAGTTTTGAAAATTTGAGTATAGAGATTATTTTATGAAAATTTTCAGTTATATTTTATTTCTTTTTTTACTTCGATTTTTAGATCAAATAGATGATGATAATGATGTTAATAATAATAATGATAATAGTAGTGGTAATAATAGTAATAGTAATAATAATAATATAGATAATGATAATAATGTTAATAATAATAGTAATGGTAATAATTATAATATTAATAGCAATAATAATAATAATAGTGATAATGATTTATTATGAAATGATTGATGAGAATATAAAAGAAAGAAAGTAATAAAAAGATTTATTAGTTATAATTTATTATGACAGAAAGTATTTTCTTTTTCCTCTTCCTCTCTTTTGAAATATAATAGTGTAAGTTTGATAAATTATGTAAGTTGATCCGGTTATTATCCGGAAAGAACGAATTATTGAATGAGCTTATATTCATTCATTAATTTATGTATTTCTTTATCTTTCATTTCATTTAGAAAATTAAATTTTGATTTTGAATTTTGTTCGATTTGATTATGTGTTGGAAAAAAGCTGTCATCATTTTCATTAAAGAAGAGTTATTTCATTAGCTACTCAATTTTTTTATTTTAGATTATATAAAAATTTTCAATATATTATTTATTATAAGGAATTGATTTATCAAATAATCTTAACGAATTTATAGGTAATTCGTATGACTCATCCGTATTATCGTTTACGACCGGATCAATGGGGTTGGCAAAATTCTATACGTCATAATTTGAGTCTTCATGATTGCTTTGTTAAATTACCTCTAAAACAAACATCTGCTAGTGGTGTTGTTGGTTGGTGTTTTTCCATTTCTGATTTATTAATTTCTTCTTTTCTTTGAAATCTGTTGCATATATCAGGTGTCAGCACTAGTTTTCAATTTAGGATAACAAATTGGAAATGATTTATTTTATTCTTTCTCATTTCTCACATTTATTTTCTCGTATTTATGCCTTATTTAAATGAATGTTAAAATTTAGGTCATTTTTGGACAGTTGTACCGGAGTTAGGTGATAAGCAAACATTACGACGACGTAATCGAGTAACAAATCGATCAGGCGCTCGTGCAGCATCAACAAGCGCAGCTGCAGCAGGTGGACAATTTAATGGTCGTCTATCATCAGTTGATGGTACCACAAATGGTATTTTAAATTGTGGTAATCATTTCATCATTCTGAATAATGATTTCAGTAATCTTTTCATTATTATTACTTTCTTTTTTTTTTTACAACAATTTATTAAATCATCTCATAATAGTTTATAATTTAATTATGGTAAAATTTTTATTTGCTAAAAATTTTAACCATTTATGTTATCATTAGTTAGGCCTTTTACTTTACCTATCACACGAATCATTAAAATCTATTTCATTCAATTTCCGAATATATGTATCTTCGGTTCATACATGAAAAATTTATCAATCTATTTCAACAGATTTATTTATCTATCAATTTATTTAAACGGATTTTGCTGCTCGTATCTTATGAAGATGATTAATTTAACAACATTATTGATAGTTTAATTTACTCTATAATGATAAGATTAATTAATTGTTTTAGACCCGCAAATTAGTAGTCAATTATGATATATGTATATGAATAAATTCATAAATAAGTCTACCACTATTTCCGTAATATGTCATTATGCTAGAATATATAAGTAACTATAAGTAACCGTAATGTAATCGTAATAATCATTTAAACGAATGGGATGATGGCTTGATTGATTCATCATTTTGTTTGTTTGTTTGAATTTGTTTGTGAATTTATTTCGACAACTATTTGCAGTATAATTTTTCGCACATCTTTTTCAACAATCTAACATGTGGAAGAAATTGTATCATAAAAAAAAAGTAAATGTAAAAAATTCAAAGAAATATTTCAATTGATATTTTTTTAGCAATAGGAGCTGATAGTAATGGATTCACAGATGGAAGTGGAATAATTAGTGATCATAGCGGGAGTACAAGTCCTGCTCATTGTTTACTTGATGGTATTCATAGTGGTACTAGTGAATTCCGGTCTAATACGGATTCGATGTTGGTAAGCAATTAAAAATATCTTTTTTTTCACTGTTTACTTTAAATAACATTTTTCAGGGGGAGGGGGGAATATAATTTTATTTATGAAATATTCAAAAGATATATATGTGTAAACATTGTAATAATTATTATTTATCATCCTAATTGATTTATCATTTAATTATCATTTACAGATCTCAACACAATCAGTTTTCAAGCCACAACCATCATATACTTCAGCATTAAGCCATCATTTATCGAAATCAACTTCAGCAGCAGCAGCAGCAGAAGCAGCAATTTTAGAAAGTTTTGGTTCAACAAATAATAATACCAATCAAAATCCATTACTTGCATTATCAACACCAACAAGTTCAGCAGCATTTATGAATGCTGCCTTTAATTCATCATCTTTTACCACTGACGATTATAAATCATACACGCAGAATTTGCTTAATGCTTATTTTTACCAACAGGTATCATTCATTTCATTCAATTTATTTAATTAGATCCAATAGAATTACCTGTAAGATTTGATACATAAAATTGTTTAGATGTTATTAAAACTATATATTACATGTACTACCTATATATTTAGTACCGATCGATCTGTTTAATTTGTTTGAAATCTTTCGGAAAATATTTCATGTTTATGTTATGCTTAAATATTGCATAGTTTGAATATATTATAGCTAAATTTTTAAAATAATTTATCTGTTAAAATTTTAATTAATTAATTAACTGATAATTTTTTTCTTTTTTAAAGAATTTTTTCATTCTTCAGGGTCTATTAACATCATTGCAACAGTTAGCCGAAGTTGCTAACCGGGTTAATCCAATCGCAGCAACATTACCAACATCTTTACTTGGTACAAAAATGCCGTTATTGAATGGATTACTCTCAAATCCGGCACTTTTTTCTTCTCAAATGCCAATTGTTAGTGTTGCAACAGCTGCAGCTATAAAAGCAGCAGCTTTCGGCTTATCACCTTTGCTACCTCTAAGTTTAAGTGGTACATCAGCAACAACATCAACAACGAGCAATAATCCATTTCCGGATTCAGAACATATGTCGGGACCACCGAAGATATCAATTTGTCCAACAAGTAGTACTCAACCACAACTCTCATCATCCGGTGCTTCTCTATCATTCCCAATTAAAAGCGAAGCGCAGTCAACATTTATGTTCTCCTAATTTGTGATAGGGAAAATAATTAAAATCAGAGAATGGTAATTTTTATTTTTCGAAATGAACTTTTAAAAAATATCACTGTGATGAAAGAGTTGAAATTTAAAAAATTTTATTAATTAGATATTTTTTTAAAAAAGTCACATTTTTGAATTTAACCATTGTTAATTAATTAACTAATTAATTTGGTTGAATCAAATGTTGTTTTTCATTAGCCTCTGACCTCTTCCCTTTTTCCTATTTTCTCTCTAACCCACGTTTATCGTTTCATTTGTTGATTTGATGCAAATTTTTATCGTTGAATTGTCACGCTTAAGATTTATAATGATATGCATATATATGTGTGTGTGTGTGTGTGTGTGTGTGTGTGTGTGTGTGTGTGTGTATGTGTGTTTATTGTGTATCAGTTAGTTATTTTTCAGGGATTCCTGCAGTGTTTTTTTTTTATTCTATCATAATGTAATTTATAAAAATGCATTATATTGAATGTTACTAATTATTATAATTAATATACACTCAGGAATCGAATATACGAATTGTATCTTCGTCATCATCATCATCATCATCATCATCATCATCGTTGTCATCANTCATAATGTAATTTATAAAAATGCATTATATTGAATGTTACTAATTATTATAATTAATATACACTCAGGAATCGAATATACGAATTGTATCTTCGTCATCATCATCATCATCATCATCATCATCATCATCATCATCATCATCATCGTTGTCATCATTATTGTCATCGTTGTTGTTGTTGTCAACGTTTTCTTTGTTATTATCTTAACTTAAATCAATTTTAATTTAAGTTATTAAAAAGAAAAGAAATGCAAAACAACTTACTCTTCTCTCGCTCCTCTCTTATTTCATCCATCTAAAATTTGCAACTTATCAAACAGAAATGAACTAACTCAATTCTTTATTTTTGAAATGGATCTCTATTGAAAAATTATCTTTTCTCCTTATTTTGATTCGTTGAAAAATAAAAATTCTTTTCATTTATTTTTTTTGTTTATTGTTTTCTTTCTTTCTCTTTTTTTGTTTGTTTCAAAATTTGAAACAAAAAATAAAACAAAAAAGGTTTCCTCTATCCATTTCATTCGTTTTCTCACTTCCCATTCTTCCACCTTCCTCTTTTCTAATTCATTAATAAAACAACAAACAAAATATAGATTATTATTTGATGATTATTATTATTATTATTATCATAATCATTCTTATCATATCATAAAATGATTTGGAAAGAAATTGGTTGTTTCAAAAAAAAAAAAGAAAAAGAGAGAACTGGTAATAAATTAAATGGTAAACATGCATAGTAATTTAACTATATATATATATCATTACCAGTTTCCAACACAATACCGCCTTTATCCCAACGTACAACTGGTACTGGATTAGCCGAAATAGCAGTCTTTAACCTGAGTGATTTATGCTCGATAATTGATTTCTTCGGTTTCGGTTTTGTC